AGATAATATTTCTCCGTATCAGGTATAATCCTCTCCCACTCCTTTTGGTTCAAATCTGGTTCAGTTTATGGTTCAAGATTGATCATTGAAAATATGATTTTCTAAATAGGGAATACGATTCCCAGTTGAAGGGAGAGATAAATTTTTGAAATTCGCCCCTTATTCCGCAATCTTTGGGCGTTCATAGGATGGATCTCTCATCCCTTCAAAAACCCCTTTCAAAAGGTGCATTCCTGGTATGCTTAGGTGCACTCGGGTCACCTTGCATCTCAACCCAAGCATACAGCTTATTTTAGTTTGCTTTTTTGGTTAGTTTTTTTTTTTTTCTATATTGTTGTGTGTTTTGTACCTTTGTAATGGTCTATTAACTTTTAGATTACCTTTATTGGTGCTTGCGCACTAGTAATGGTTCATCAACCTTTAAAAGAAACAAAATTGAAGACATTTCAAATATATGATGCTCTAGTTGTTGTAGATAGGATCCTAGATACCAAAGTTTCCACTATTGAAGCAGCAAAAACACAACTGATCTCCGATTCCTAATCCTAAAATAGAATGGACTGTGACCAAAACTACAAAACCAACCCCCTTGCATATAGTGAGCCAAAATTTGAGTTGGGGTTGCCTCAAGGGGCCTTTCCTTTGGTTCCAGGCCCATCATTCCTTTGCCTCTGTATACCAACCTTCTAGGATTAGGAATGCAAGACATTTAACAAAATCAACTTATCTCTGATTCCTAGCCCTAAAATAGAAGGAATTGTGGCCAAAATCACAAAACCGACCTCTTTACATATACTGGGCCAAAAATTTGGGTTGGGGTTGCTGCTCTTGAACCCTTGTATGGGCTTGTTTGGACTTGCCTCAAGGAGCCTTTCCTTTGGTTCCAGGTCCATCTGTCCTCTGCAGCTCTGCCTCTGTAAAGGTGCCAATCTCCTCCTAGGATTAAGAATGGAAGACACCTAACTTCATCTTGTTACTTGAAGTAAAGTAAATAGGAGATAAACAAACACATTAAGAGTTTCACATGCTTGAAGCACTTTGGTATAATTCCCATTTAGGCCATGTTTGGGAGTGCTTATGCTAAAAATAAGTGCTTATTCGAATAAGCACTTATTTATATTTGGCATCTAGCTTTTTCAATTGCTTATCTTAAAAAATAAGCACTTATTTTATATTGGACGTTTGGTGGTCTTTTTCTCCAATAAGCACTTGTGATTCTTATTCTTTTGTCCTTCATTTTCCTTCAAAATTTCAGAATATCCAATCCAAAGTGAATGAATAAAGCATTTTGATAGAATTGCTTTCGTAAAAGTGCTTTTATAAAAATGCTTTTGTAAAAGTGCTTTCATAAAAGTGATTTTTTAAAAGGACTTTCGTAAAAGTGCTTTCATAAAAGTACTTTTGTAAAAGTACTTTTCGTAAAAGTGCTTTTATAAAAGTACTTTCGTAAAAGTGCTCTTATTAAAACACTTCTGTATAAGTTCTTTCATGTAAAAGTACTTTCATAAAAGTGTTTTCATAAAAGTACTTTGCTTTTGTAAAAGTAACAATGTTGTTGCTAAAAGTAACAATATTGAAAGGGTATAATTGGTGTTCTAAAAATTTACTAAGCACAATTCTGGGAGAAAAAATCTGAATAAGTGCTTATTGTTTGAGCACTTAAAAAAAGCTGGAAATTTGGGCTTAAAAAATAAACCCTTCTTTTTAAAATAAGCACTTATTCCGGGCTTATTTCCCAAACACCAATAAGTGCTTAATGGTGTGGTTCAAGCCCAAATAAGCACTTTTACTCTGATTTTTTTTGTTATATATTATGCTTGTATTTTAGTTTGACTAATAACCTTTTAAAAACATTCAGTTTCTTTTGAAATTCAGTTTTGCATATATATATATATATGTATATATAACAGAAGAAGGAAATTTTGTTAAGCCCTTCTTTTTAAAAATAAGCACTTATTTTGGGCTAATAAGTGCTTAATGGTGTGGTCCCAGCCCAAATAAGCACGTTTACTCTGAATTTTTTTATATATTATTCTTGTATTTTAATTTGACTAATAACCTTTTAAAAACATCCACTTTCTTTTGAAATTCAGTTTTGCATATTTTTTATGTATGTGTGTGTGTGTGTGTGTGTGTATATATATATATATATATTTGATAATAACAGAAAAAGGAAATTTTATTAAAATAAAAACTAAATATTACACCACAAACCATTCAGATTACAAGAATTCTTGGATCTCAATTGTTCTCCAAAAGTTAGACCCTAAATCTGACATGGATATTTGAGCAAATCCGGTAAGATGAGCATCCAACCAGTGACAGCCCTTCCAATGGACTCCATCACCTTCTCTAGCATATATAATTTTATTCAAAATTTTGTGCCCTTCTTTTTCCAGGTGCATGCCTTGCTTTGTCCCTTGCACCTCAGGTGCCATAGAAGGCCTTTGTGCTTTTCTTGCATTCTTTGCTTTTAAACACCTGCTAATAGCCATGGATTCATTGTTGAAGAACACTAAGTTGGAAATTTTTCATCAGAAATGAGAATTATTTCCTTTTTTCATTCATCATATAATTATAATTTCTCACTTACTTGATTAGGGCAAAATGTTTCTAGTTGGTTGCTGTTAGGCCCATTCTCCAATTGGAAATTGTGTTCATATGTGTAATTATTAGCATGTTTGGTAATAGTCCTGTTTTTTTCTTCATTAAAAGTTTTTATTCACCCTATTCTAGATCAGGATGCCTTTGTTTTGAATATATACTGAAATTGGATTTTTGTGTTGATAGGGTTTCACAAAAGAGATTGATTTGGACAAAGATAGATGGCAAGGGTATGGTTCCTAGGCTAATTTGGTAGAATTTCAAGTTTTACCAAATCACTTATTTTCCATTAGAATTTATATGTTTACTTCTATTCTTATTATTATTTATAAGTTTTCTTTCTTGTAAATTGTTCAACGGAAAAAATTATTAAACAAAAACGAAGATGCAAAAATTTTACAACTTCCTATTATCCTATATAAAGAACAATCAATGATCTACAATTCAATAAATGAAATACAAAAGGCTTAATTACAGTCGAGGTTTGCAGTTTTGATTTTCACAAAACTTCTGCTTTTTGATTGGTCATTTTGATAGAAAAATTATTTTATCAAATATGGGAAACTCTAGCTACTTATTTAATTAGTCTAAGTTGTCAAGGCATATAGGTGAATTCTAGGCAACAATGGAGCACCTAGTCACCTAGGTGAAACTAATTCTTGGTTTATCCCCTAGTTTTATATGCAAAAGGCATTCATATAAATTGAAAAAAAAACAACGTTCAAACACTTAGGTGACGTTTGGTAAGACTGCAAAAGTGAATGAACTGATGTGTATGCAAATTTGTTCAAATAGAAGAAGGATGCAAACCTGGTTTGGTTTTTAACTGAGAAATTTATAGCATCTTGTTTGGTTGTGATGGGTGCAAATTTTGAGTAAAAAGTTTGCTTCCTTTTTTTGAAAGCAAATCTTATTCCCATTTTGAATGCAAAAACGGTTCAAAAGAACAAATTTACTTTCATTTTCAGTACAAAAAAACTTTCTTACACACTAGGGCTGCAAGCTGGATTCCCCAATTGAAGAATTTCAACTGCATTAGGCATGGGTTAGGGTTTGGACCCAATGAAATTTTAACAAATACCCGATCTAACCCAAGCCAAGTTGCACCCCTACCAAATACATGCAAAACCTAACTGGAGTGCAAATCTGCTCCGGTTTTGCATTTGCACTCTACCAGTCTGAGTTTTATCTCAAAACGTATCAAATCATCAAATCTAAAAGAAAAAAGCATTTCATATATATTAATTTTTGTATTTCAAAGGAAACATTATAATATATAAAGTCTTTAATGGAGCAATTGCATGCCGAAAAAGTTATTAGCAACTAAAGAAGGTTATAATTTTATACTACTAAAAGATTGAAGAGAGGAGTAACAAAAAGGGGAAATTGAAGGGGGGGGACAAAGTCTTTTTTCTATTTATTGGCAGATGTTAATTAGGCAGAGGAATTGTTTCAAATACTAAATAATTAAATATTTAGGAGTCTTTTAATTGTTGTCTTTTATTTTTATAAGTCATAAGAGTGGCTTACTCGTGGATCTAAATTTATAAGTTGCCCTTCCTATTTAAATGGAATGTTAAGAGTTAGAGGGTGGAATTGAATTGTTTGTGTTTGAGAGTAGCTAGAGCAACTTTTTTCCTCTCTTTCTACCCTCTCTTCTTTTCTACTACTTGGGGCCTACCACTATATAACATTCTTCTGCAATTCCCAAGGTTAAGAGGGAGGGTGAAGTCGTGTCATTATTCTGTTCTGGTTAATGGGGATCCCCTTTCACCCTTTCTCTATACCCTAATAACTGATGTTTTTAGTAGATTTATTTCCAAGGCTGAGAGCCGGGGGGGGGGGGGGAATTAAGGGATGGATAGTAGGTAGAAAAAATTCCTCAGTTACTCACTTTCAGTTTATAGATGATAATGTAAAAGAATTGGGGAAGAAGTTCGAACTTGTTTCAAATTTGAAAATCAATCTTGACAAGAGCTGTATTGCAGGGATTAATTTAGAAGGTGAGTTAAACTCTATAAGCGGCTTCTCTAGAGTGTTCTATCACCAATTGGCCTTTGACCTACTTGGGCTTCCCTTTAGGCTCAGTTTGGAAGGAGTACAAATACAAACATGTACAGTGTAAGTCTGTGTATTTTGTATGTATTTACACTGTACATATTCGTATCCGTACTCTTTCCAAACTAAGCCTTAGGAGCAAATCCCAAAGAGAGCAAAAATCTGGAACCCAATCATAGAGAGATGTACAAAAAGATTTGCATTGTGGAAAGGGAATTATGTTGCATTGGGAGGTAGAATTACTTCGATAAAGAAAGATCTAGTCAGGAGAGATTTCTTATGGAGAACCAGGGGAGGGCAAGAAAGATCTAGTCAAATGAGAGACGGTATGTATGAGTAAACATGGAGATGGATTAGGTGTGGGCAATATAGAAAAGAAGATATGGTGTTGCTAGGGAAATGGTTATGGAGATGGCCAATTGAGAGGGAGAAGCTATGACATGAGGTGGTGGCCAACATACATGGTAGGTTGGGTAATGGCTGCTATGCAGGTACATCACATCGGGGTACTTTGGCATCACAATGGAAGGCTATCCATGGTATCCTTCATCACTTTCTCAGTTTTATTAACTATGATGCTGAAGGGATGAGAGATCCATCATATGGATGGCCGAACCCTGCAGGAAGGTTGGGTGAAATTTAAAAAAATTCTCTCTCTCTCCCATGTGGGAATCACATTTAGAAAACTACATTTTCAAGGATCAATCTTGAAACCAAAAGGGAGTAGAGGGATATAACTGATATGGAGTAATAGTAAACCACCAATGAAGGTGTTCACGCTCAAGGAGAAGACCAAAGATTGCTTCCACCGAAGATGACACAGTGCGTGGTGAAGCAGAATCAGTAGGACGTTTCTTCAGCAAGAACCAAATTCTTCAACAAGAATATGATGGAGGGCTGGTGAGCACGACTTCAGATTGCCTCTTCTAGCAAAAGGCAATATCAAGAACCATTCTTGATCACTCCCATTGGTGGAGATCGAACTGGGTAGGGCGGCAAGAGCAGGAACAAGAGCAGAAGATAGAAGCAGTCGAACTGTATATTGTCTTCTCTCTCAATTCAGTAGACTGTTAGATGATCTGGAGGTTCGCCCTACTCTTCTATTTATAGCCTTAAAGAGAGGATCTCCTAATCCCATTAGGAGTTTCCTAATCCAAATCTTTTATTTGGATCTGGACTCTCTTTAAGAGATAAGGATAATCCCTTATCTGTAGATAAAGATCAGCCTTCCTAATCTAATTAGGAGTTTCCTGATCCACCCCCATTTAATTAATCTTATTAAGCGAGTTCGATTTGGGCTTTAGGCCCATTAAGTCTATGAAGGGATGAGAGATCCATCGTATGAACGCCTGAATCTTACAGAATAGAATGGGCAAATTTCAAAAATTTCTCTCCTACCTACTAGGAATCGTATTCCCTATTTTAGAAAAATCATATTTTTCAAAGATCAATCTTGAACCAAGAACCGAACCAGATTTGAACAAAAGCAGTAGGAGAGGGATATACTTAATACGGAGAAATAGTATCTCCCAATGGAGGTGTTCACACCCAAGGAAGGAACCAAAGACTGCTCCCTTTGAAGATGGCGCAGTGCAGGATGGAGCAGAATCAGCAGCGTTCTTCAAAAGAACTAGATCATTCGCAAGAATCAGCTGGACGACACGTGAGCACTACTTCCAATCAGCCCTTTCACAAATGATTGATGTCAAGATCCAATCTTGATCACTTGCACTGAGAATAGGAGATCGAACTGGCAGATATGGCGGCGATAGGAAGGAGGCGACAAGAAAGAATTTTCGCAGAGGTGCTGAATTCTTTCTTCTGTGATTTCAGCTCTGAAGAGAATGTGAATATGAATATCTATTAAAGGCTGCCGCCCCCTCCTTTTTTAAGTTTAGAGGGATCAGCTTCTAATCCCATTAGGAGTTGCTGATCCAAATCATATTTGGATCAGAATTCTCTTTAAGTGATAAGGGTAAACCCTTATCTTATCTGTAGATTAGATCAGCCCTCTCATAATCCTATTAGGAGGTTTCCAGATCTGAATCTGTATTCAGATTTGGACTCTCTCAGTGGATAGGGTAAGACCCTATCCTATCTGCTAATCTAATCTCAAATTCGCCCCTTCTTTCACTGATAAAATCAGCCCAGTTCGAAATGGGCTTTAGGCCCATTAATAGTATGTGCTCACTTAACCTTCCAAATTGCTGCCCAGTTGGGCTTCCTTGTATGGCATGGGACCAAAACATTGATCTATACATCAGCCACATGGGATCAGCTCAGCCTTTGTTACAAGGCCTGGCCGAATGCACTGTTATGGATAGTGCA